AAATATCTAATAAATTAGTTAAATAATGGTAATTTTTAGGCCTTTATTATTACTAAAATATTGATAATATATTGCTAGTATTAGCATTTTATTAGCATAATAATTGACAAATATATTTATAAAATTAAAAGATAGTAACAAAATGCTAATAAAATGCTTATATTTGCAAACATTTGTATTTTAATAGTACATTATCAGCACCGTTAAATTGCTTATTTTTAGCAAGTTTGATTTTGACAGGTTTTTGTAAAGTACATTTTGGTTACTATCCTACACGTTAACGTGTTACCTAGCACTCTAACGTGCTATCTTAGCAAGCTGGCGTGCTAATAGTTCATAGATTTCTAAGCCCAACACATTAGCGTGTTATCGCGAACTTTCGATACCAATAAAATCTTACCCCTTAATAACACGTATACGTGCTAACACGTTAGCGTGCTATACAATTTATACAAAAATGGACGATCATATGCTATCATTATGGTAAATACTGAATTTTGTCTATCATAATATAAAAATGGAAATACGTAAGAGATACTAGTGCTTTAAAAGGAATATCTATATACATAAAAAGAAAGGAAAATCGATTTCTCTATGTCACAAATTTAGAAATTTGTGACACTATGTAAATCTTGATGATCACGAGAGTGAATTATCTGGAGATCTGATGCATAGCAGATTTAATTTATCTTTCTAGTCCATCTGTGCTATAGGTTGCGGATTTTCGCGTAAATTACCTTCCGGAGCATAAATCATTACAAGGATATAATCTTTAGAAACTTTATCTTTTGATACCAAAACATTTTAAAAAAGTTTGTTCTTTGAGGCCGATATCACAGTATGCTCTTAGCTTATTATTATTAGAATAAAATATATTTTAAATTAATATAAATAATAAAATAACAATATAACAATTTATAACCAATTATAATAATATCTAACGTTAATTCTTTCCCTAATTGGAAATTTAAATATATGAATTTATTAATTATTATAAGTTATCGTATAAGTTATCGTATGGTGGATAAAAAAAATATTCGTACTATCGCGTCGATTTTTTCACTCATACGATAACGTTATTATCGTCTGATAGTTGTTACTATCGTATGCATTTGATCAATTAAATAACGTATACGTTTGTCTTTTTGCAGTTTTTTACATGAGAATTTTTTTGTGATATCAGTTATGGTTATCAGTGATCTACCGATCAAATATTAAAATCGGGTGTAATTGCTCATGAGTCTCAAATCTTATTTGACTTTTTCTTATTTTATTAATAAAAGTATTAAAAATATTGCTATTCATCTCTTATTAAATTTTTTATTCATAATTACTATATCATGTCATGAATAAACACCCCTGTAAATAAGCACCCTTTATATATATTATTTTCATTAGTAAGCACCCACTTGTATAAAAAGTAAATAAATAAAATATGTTCTAAATTCAGATTTTGAACTAAGCATACCTAACCTATTCTTAAGTGAAGTTGTTTTCCAGACTAAGTACTTTCTAACGGTGGTAAGATCAAATTTGGCCTGGTAGGTAGATCTCTGAATTTTATACATTATAAAACCAAACATTATATAACCAAAAATTACAAAATTCGAAAGCCATTGCTAGCGATCCATGGGTCGAATTTGATGATCTTACCACCATTAGAAAGCTCTTTATCTGGAGAGCAACTTTACTTAAAAACATATGTTAAGTTTACTTAGTACAAAATTCGTGTTCGGATTATGTTTTTAAATCTTACTGTGAATAAGCACCCTTACTATAATCAAAGAGAATGTATTTAATCTGTGAGCATAATGATCATTTATTAATAAAATACTTAAAATTTAAAGCCAAAATCAACGATCGAAGTTAAGGAATAATTACGTGTAGTGGCTATATGCAATATGAAGCATGATCGACTGTACAATATCAAAGTAGAATGTCAGAGCGAAAGTGTACGTATTTCGTATTCTAAATAGATTTAGTGAGTTAATTTATTAAGTGTTACACACATTATGCCTCTCAATATAACGGAGATCTGGAATATTTATTTCGGTACAATTAATTCACAGATAAACTTATTTTATGAAATATTATTTAAGACAATCATTTTACAGATAGGTTTATCTCATCGATAGTTCCTTATATAAAGAAATATAAAAGTATATATGTTCTTGCAGCATTTTATTATCTAAGTTCTTTCAGTGTAATTTACGTGATTCTTTTTTTTCAGCAATCACTAGCAGGCCTGATATTTTCACAAAATTTACACATTCAATTTGCATAATTACATCGGCAAAAACCTTCCTTATGTCATTGTTCTAAACTTTCGAGAAAATCTTCCACTTTCCAGACTTGATATTGATTAAAAACTGCAGAATAAAATTCACTTTGTCTTTGTCCAAATTATCAAATTTACTGATAAATTCTGGGTCACGGTGCAACATTCATGAACTTTTTGTAGCATTAAATTTTCTTCGGACTCCTCTTTTGTAATATTTGCCATAGGATTATCCGTAATCCATACTGTGTAAGTACACAAGCATTCCACCAGAACATTTCCAGTCTATGACACCAGTGATTTCAGTATCATCAACTCAAATATTTGATGAATCACCATGAGTCAACACAAATTTATTCCTTTCATCATCCGGAAAGTACTTCGGCACCAACTTGCATAATGTTTCATACATTGAAATTAAGCGATTTTGTTGATCTTGTGACTTGAAGGTGTGACAATAAAGGATCTGGTTTCGGATAGCAGCCAAAACATATTCTTTTGTCGTGTTGAAAGGTCCTCGGTCCATTGATAGAGTTGCTCTTCCATTAACAAAGAAGTCAATTTCAACTACCTGACCAATTTTAAATTGATCATTTGATTTGCCATCAAAAAAAATACTACCTATCCTTGAGAATGTAAGTTTCTTAAGAGCTAATTGAATGTCAATAACTTTTGAAAGAATTATTTTTTTCTTTTCCACGACGAAATCACTCCATACATTTACATAAACGACGACCAGGTAAACGCTCCATTAAGATATATTCTGCACCCACTGGATTGTAGATTGAACTATTCCAATAATAGATTTTAGGAACAGGAATGTTCATATTTAAGCGAACATATTTCATAACTGCAACCTCGCTCTCCGTCTTCCAACGTGGATATTCATGAAATGCTACTCTTCTAATATATTCTGTTCCATTTTCCATTGTTAAGATATACCTTATGAAAGCCACCTTCGCTGAGCTTTTGTATAGAAATA